TAACAAGGATGCCCCTACTTTACTTGTCCGTAAAAGTGCCATTTATACAAGTTATTGATTGATCAAAGATTTAGCGTCATTGTGACCCTGATTTTTGATTAAATTGCCTAAAAATTATTAGGTGTCATCTACTGATCTTTTAGGTTATATAAACTACGGCTTATTTTTCTAAATCATACATCAGACAAGGATTTTGCATGAAGTGTCATGTTTATCTGACCTGTGACCTCAAACATCCTTATAGGATATCTACTGTCCATGGGCAATGTCCCTTCCCAATAAAATAAATCAGGACTAAGTCCCTCTCAAGTTATGGTATAAACAATGTTAACAGGCCTTTGTACGTACAAAATGACCAATTCTATCATAGAATTTGTCCCAACAAAGGGCTATAACTAATGAGATAAATAAAAACACACACATGTCACTTAGTAACTCGTGGCCACGACTTAGTACAGTACAAAACTTTGATTTTTTTTTTGTAAAATAAAATAAATATAATTTGGCTTCACACAAACATTGTGCTTTAAATCCTTTACACTGTAAGTGTGCAGTATGAATATACATGTATAGTGTTATTACAAAAAATATATGGAAATTTCTTTTAAAGACAGGCACAACCTTTTATACCTGACCTGTAATAAGGAAAGCAGATTCCTATACACTGTGTGTATGTTTTTTTATTTAAATAAAACATATTTAGTAAAAATTTTATAGATTTCAATAAATTTCTGTGATGAAAATATATTACTGAAAGATGTGCATAGTATATTTTTAAGCACAAATGTATGTGAATGTGGTGGGGTGTGCGTGATGTCTGATCTATAATCAGACACACATATGCCCAACATTTGTAATTGACTTTATATGCACATGTCACAAAAATAAACAACTTCCTTCTTTCCTTATTATACATGTATATTTTAATGTGTTACATACCTATTCGTCATTATTAGTGACTGAGACATTTATTAAGTTAAAAGGCCTATTAATAAGTTTTGCTTTTCAATGTCCAAGTCATTAGATAAAGACCTTCGCAATCGTAGGCAGGTGCTTAAGGTGACAACGGAGTCAATTATCACTGAAAAAACCTAAAATGAGATTTTTTGCTTAGTAGATTTATCAACCATTTCTGAACACATTCGTGATTTAATTTTGGAAGCAGTTAGTCCAAAAAATGTGTTTTTAAACGTTTTTAAACGGTTCCTGTACCATTTTTATCTGCTATTCGCGTAACCTGTCAATTATCGATAACGCTCCGCCCCCTGTTGAGGCATCAATGAGGGAAATCGGTAGTTCCATATATCCGTGAATTACCGGTCCATACTGGTCCATACTACTCGTAAATTCATGTATCGTACAAATACCGTACATCTTTTATGAATATCGTCTACCTTTTATTTAGGCATTTTTTTATAAAAAATAAGAAATTGTCGGCCAATGTACGTAACATAATGTATAAAACATAAACAATTAAGCATAGCGGCAAATCGCACGACCACGGGGTTGTTTAAAAATATGGTTGCTAAAATATCCATAATGTGAAAATAATTTGTCTGTCCCGTTAATCTGATAGATATTACATTGAGTTTATGGACTTTAGAACGGATTCAATGGCTTGCTTTACATTCAACCTCGTTTTCTAACAATGTCAAGTAAAACAACAACAAAAACAGAAAACTTTTTTATGTGAACGCCTATATATATGACTAGCGGTACGGTGTCCCTGGCAAATTTCTAAACCATTTTAGATTGTTTAAGGATGATTATTTCTCTATGAATCAATAAAAAAAATATTGATATATATAATCAGTGTATGCTTTGAATAAATTGTTTGCCAGTAAATCGAACACAGTACTAATAAACCTGGGACAAAGTATGGAATTATTGTATACCCCAGTAGAAACTTGATCTCTATGCCGTGCATAAATGATTTTCATGATAATAGATGTCAAGAAGATCAGATCATAATTATCGAGTGATACCTTTTATTTCTATTAAAATATGTCAAGCATTTATATTAATTTGGAGGAAAAAATATATAATATCCCGTTCTAATTTGTACATCTACCATGGACTTTAAAAGACCGTCAGAAGCTAAGTTTTTTGTTATTTTAATTTATATTTTAACGGAAATTCATACACGAATACACAGACAGAGTGACACTGGTATAATATAATAATAATGCTGATGATAATAATAATAATCTTCAAACGTGAAACAATTGAATACCCCGCTAACGGTGTGCAAATACGTTCCATTTCCCCCCCCCCCCCCACCGAGTGCCTCAAATTTTACCGAAAGTCACGTGACATGTGAGACCAATACCAGACGAAAAGTAAATCACGTAAAGATTTGAAGAAATTTCTGTTATAAACTGATATTAATCAGCAAATTTTTAATTGTTCAGATGACACTGGGTCATAAAATGTTGTTAGAGTATGTTACCGCAACTTGTGACCCTCTCTGGTGCGATATTTGTGTATTATGCAATTATTTAGCGTGAAACGTAGGGGTCCGAGAGAGAATAGCCGATTTATGACACTTCGTTTGACGCGGGTCGGACTAACTTTGAATCGGCATAACTTTTTTAATAATCAAGCAATTAACATGCGGTTTAAAGCAGATGAAAGGGAATTTATTTACAGAGGGAACCGTGTCAGGGATTTTTGTTTGCTTAATCAGCGACTTAATTATCTTTAATTCCGTAATATGTATGGTGAAAAAAGTCGTATAAAATGTTTCACGTTACGTAATATTTTTTTGAGAAAAGATAGAAAAAATTTGAGACACGGTTCCCCAGATATTATAAGTATGTTTATTTTCCGAAAGTTTGATGACAAAAAAATAAAAAATGACTTTGATATGACGATTTAAAATTTTAGGATTTTTATTAAAAATCAATCATTTACAAAGGCATTTTTTTCAAATATGTTATTTTTTATGATGATCAACGACATTTAATGCACAAAGATTAAATAAATAATAATTATTACTAAAATAAGTTGGTTTAAATGACATTTATGTGAGTACCACGGAAAGTGTCTGTTGTCACCTTAACAACTGGAAGACAGCATTATATGTTTTGATAAGGGAGTACACTATGACCACTATTGCATGAAACTTACACGTATATATTCCATCCCAGCTCATCAACGTATCTTTGGGGGTAGGTGCAGCCCTTAAGCCAAGGCCTGAATCCGCCACTGTACGTATAACTGCCCCATTGAATAACTGTTTACGAGCATATTTTTTTCTATTAGACTGTATACATATACATGTATAAAATTATATTGCATAATCCTTACTACTTGTATTTATATTATTTCCACTGCAATTTATGTATTAAGCGCTTGGTACGTATTTATAGCATTGTCGCCCTCTGTATTTTAAAGTATAACCACGATGGCCCTAACGGTATTCCGTAATATATACATGTACGGAAAATTCCGATGATAGGCGAATCATGGAAAAAATCTGTTGATATCGGTGATAATAAATAAAATAACTAATGAGGTTTTCCATGAGCATTTCAGTAATTTGAATGCAGATATTTTAAGAAATGAAAATGACGTAGATAATTTTAATGTTAACAACTTACCAATGTTTAATGAGGCACTGAATTCGCAATTTACTGAGCAAGAAATAGATAAGGCTATAAAGGCGCTTAAGAATAATAAAAGTCCATCTATATTTGATAATATTATTAATGAGTATCTCAAAAATGCTCCTGATTATCTGCTGGCTGTACTTACGCTATTTTTTAACATTATATTAGCTTCTGGTATCTTTCCGGATGTGTGGAGCAAGGGAGTTATCTTACCATTGTATAAAAATAAAGGGGATGTTAATGATCCGGATAATTACAGGGGCATAACAATACTCAGTTGCTTTGGAAAACTTTTCACTTCGGTACTTAATAACAGATTAAATGACTTCTTGGAATCAAACAACATTCTATGTGAAGAACAAGCAGGTTTCAGGAAGCATTATAGTACTGTTGATCACATATTTTCATTAAAACTTCTAGTGGACGTATATCTAGCACATGGAAAAAAATTGTATTGTGCATTTGTAGATTATCGCAAGGCCTTTGATTCTGTAAATCGCACTGCCATGTGGCATAAATTATTAAGTTACAATATTGATGGGAAATGCTTTAAAAATAATACACAATATGTATGACAAAGCTAAGTCATGTGTTAGTTCGAATAATACAATTTCAGATTTTTTCACTAGTCATACTGGAGTAAGACAAGGTGAAAAACTTATCTCCAATATTGTTTTCTCTTTTTCTTGAATGATCTAACTAATTTTATGTCTGATAAATATGAAGGTTTGCAGTTTTCTAAAAGAACATATAAATGATATGTTAAGTGATGATGAAATGGAAGTTTATCTTAACTGTATTTACAATTGTATGCTGGATGACACTGTAATATTGTCAGAGAGCTCTCAGCAGCTTCAGTTAGCATTAACGCTATGTCTGACTACTGCAAGCTTTGGAATCTTGAAGTAAATACAAATAAAACCAAAGTTATTATATTTTGGAAAACCAAGAGAGGTTTGCGTAATATGCCTAACTTTCACTATGAGGGGACTGTCCTTGAAATTGTTGAGCATTTCTCATATTTAGGTGTCCAATTTTCATTTAATGGTAAATTCAGCAGAACTAAAACATTCCTTATTGATCAAGCCCGTAAAGCCATGTTTTCTGTAATTAGGAAATCTAGGATACTGAATTTACCAATAGATATGCAATTACACTAGTTTGCTACAAGGATAGCACCCATATTGTTGTATGGGTGTGAAGTTTGGGGTGTTGAAGATGTGAGTGTTGTGGATAAATTTCAATTAAAATACCTAAAGATAATTCTACGGTTGAAACAGAGTACTCCAAATGTTATGATTTATGGGGAGTTGGGTATTACCCCACTTTCAACACAAATTAAAAGTAGAGTTCTCAATTACTGGGGTAAAATAGTTAATTCTAAATGTGACAGGTCGGAAATTTAGTGACATGGTATGGTATTGGTTTTTTACCGTATAGTACGGTATCTAGAGTTTAGAGCAGTTTCATTCGGAGCGCTTTTGTCATTCTCTATCAGTTGTTGGCGGAGGTAGATGCGTGAAGCTTTTGTCACCTTTTGCTTCTGTAAATTTATGGTTATATTTTGTTGGAAGAAGGTTTTAGTATTGTAAGTTTGTTTATCTCTGTATTGGCCATTGAATTGTTAACGGTTTTGTTTATTTGTTTATTTCTCGGTTGAATTTATTGTTCAGTCGGTTCTGAAGAATTTCCCGCCAAACCCCGCGTCTTTGACCCCTTTGTCCTTTGACTGTCATATGATCTATTCTATTTGTCACTATTGCTAACAATAATTTTACATTCACAGCATGCAGTTACAAACACCAGAATGGGGAGTGTGTGATGTATGTTTAAGTGGAAATACCAAGGATCCCATTGATCCTGAAAGTAATTCTTAATGTTATATTGTTTCTTATTTTTTACATATATCATTGTTAAATGTGCAAAGGATTATATGTAATGTTTTTATTTTAATTCATTTAGGATCGAACCACAAGTATGTTCATTAAGGATCGAACCACAAGTACGTTCATTAAGTATCGAACCACAAGTACGAATGACAATTTAAGTTATTCTTTGATAACATTTACCAATATAATATTGCAATGCTATATGTCATTTTAAGTAATCGTTATATTGTTTAGTAAATATATGCTATTGTATATTTCAGGGTGATATGTATATACTCCTGTATACACATGAATAATTAATTGGAAAAATGTAAATATAAACAGTATGAGTGATCAATAAGTATGTTAGAGTTATCCTGAAAAGAAAATAAAGACTATCTGAACTCTGATGAAATTTATTGTCTTTATCATAATCATGAAAAGATTATTAAGAACCAGGGTTACATAAACATGATAAGATAGTCAGCATTCTATATAGAACAACTCATAATTTATATACTCTGAATAATATTAAATCAGATTGGGTCTGTTTTGTTCGAAATAATTTAAATGATCTTGGATTGTCGCATTTTTGGATAAATCAAAATGTGGAATCTCCTGCTTCATTCAAGAATACTGTCAACTTAAGATTGCGTGATCATTTTATGCAAAATTGGAGAAGTACAATTAATAATTCCAGTAAATGTCTAAATTACAGGATTTATAACAGGATTTTTGTTTTGAGCCATACCTCAGCAAGTTACCTATGAATTTAGCTTTAATTCTCTTTAAATTTAGAAGTATGAATCACAAACTTCCTATTGAAAAAGGAAGGTTTGATGATATTCCAAGAGAACTTAGAACTTGTAACCTATGTACCAGTAAACTCTTTAGGCGACGAATTCCATTATCTTTTTGAATGTTCACATTTAGTCAATACAAGAAAGCTGTATCTTGATAAATATTTCTATGAACGTCCAAGTGCTTTAAACATTTGAAAAATTAAATGAACCATAGTAATAAAGATATCCTTTTGAAACTTGCCATATTTTGCAAAAATATTATGTTATTATTTAAATAATGTTAGCTTATTAGATTATGTATTTTCTCTTTGTTTTTTTTTTGTTTTTTCTCGCAATGATTTTTGATTTTTCTCTCTCATCCTCCATTATCAGTCAATTATTACAGTAATTTTATTACATCATGGAGTTGTATGACCATTTATAATTTGCCATTTTGTAGTATTTTGTTTTTACATATTATTTGCCATTTTGTATTATTTTGTATGTATGTACTGTTTTATGTTGTCACATGCCCATATGGGCCCTGACGTATTCAAATAAAACTTGAAAACTTGAATAACAGAGTTCTCGCCCCTTAACAGTTCACAAATCGCTAGACATTGTTTAAATTGTTTATCATAATGTAAGATGATCAAACATAATCCACAAAGCCTCAGACACCGAGCTTTATTAAGCATAAACACTGAATAATGGATATAAGCGAAAGCTAAAAGTAATCACGCCATGCGAGCTGTAAATCAAATAAGTCCCATTTTAACAAAATCCATCAGGGAACAAAAAAATATTCAATTTTAAATGACTTCTACATAAAAGTAATAAAAAAAAAACTAAACCGTAAATGGTTTGTATAGAGCATGAAGAAATGTAGCTTATACATAAAGGTATAAGACGTTAACATTTTAGTATTCCAAATGGCTTGTTCCAGTTTAATAGTTATCACTCAATGAAAGAATTGGTCACTACGAAATGTTTGAATGAAATAATGAAAAATGGAATCCAGAATAATGCAACGTTTAAATATCATAAAGCAAGATGGAATCAATCATAATGCAAGTTCTAATATCATGTAGCAAGATGGAATTAAGCATAATGCAAGTTCCAATGTCATCAAGCAAGATGGAATTAAGCATAATGCAAGTTCCAATGTCATCAAGCAAGATAGAATAAATGCATTAATTCTGTTCCATAGATATTAAAGGCGTGGCTTATTATATCTTGTAGAATTGCTTACTACATCCTCCTCTTTCTTTAGTTTAGAACTCATCAATAAAATCAATAAACTTAAATCATCAAAACTTTAAATTTAAATGTGCAAACATATTGTAATAAGAAATATTTTTCTTTTCGTATGAAATAAGCTATATAGCAAGTCTATTATTATAAACTCTTCTCCTTTTTCAGCAGAGTTCATTAACCAATGCGATTTACTCTAATCAGTGTACTAGGCATCTGTTTCAACGAAGTAGTGATACATACAATGTTATTGTTAATTGTCATATCTTTTTCTATTTTTCGTAATGTCACAAAATATCAAGCAAATTACATTATTATCACAACATTTGTTCAAACAACTAGCATTGTTATCAAAAGAATGATTTGTTTTTCCGTTCTACCACACAAAAACCAATTATAAGGTAATTTAATAAAAACCAAAAAGTATTAATGTCACGAATAACAGAACGTTCTCAATACGCTATCATTTTTTTCCTAAGATTAATAAATCCAGCAAGCGGATATAAATGATTACACTGCTATGATAGCAAATATAATTAGGGCATTATTATGGCCACACATTAACCCTTATGGCTGTAACGAGAAATGATATCATAGATTAAACCATTTTTCTTTATTTCTTTTAATCTTCATAACGTCTCGGCGGTCGGCGTTTTCTCTGCGGCCTATTTCTAGGTAAAGATGTATTATCTGCAGGTTTCGTCTGCACTGGCTTTGATTCTCCATGAACATATCTAAATTTGGAAAAACGTCCGTGTGATTTCTTTTCCTCTATGTTTGATTGTAAGCATAGATCCTTTCATAGCGATGATTATCCCGGGGGTAGGTCAAACGCTGTTTCAAATTATTCCGTTGTCCCCGTTTTAATAATACACGATCCTCGTCGCCAATGTAACATTTATATTTTCTATTTGGATGGCTTACTAACACACAAACTAAACAAGACCCGAAGGATGGTTTATATATTTTTATTTATATGTGTTGCATCCAAGTATACACTCATAAACTCCCAAACATCAAGTAAACATACGCACAGTAACAATAACGATATTTGATATTAAAGGCGTGGCTTATTATATCTTGTAGACTTGCTTACTACAGTTATCAACTCTAATTAAGAAGGCATCCTATTTCTTTACATCAATAATAATACGAGGTTATTTTATGTGCGTGAAGTTAGCCGGACAGCCGGAACAGCCGGAGCAGCCGGAACTCATTTTCGTCTACTCCGGCTGTTCTGGCTACTCCGGCTAGCCGGAATCCGGTTCCGGCTATACAAGCTGGCCAGAGATTATACGGTAAAACCTGTGCAAAAGACCATTGGCTAATTCCATAATGTAACGTCTAATTACGTCTAATTACTTATCAATACGATCTCCGGCTATTACGGCTAGCCAGAAAAATAGAAATCAAAGCTACAAGATGAAAAAAAAAATCCGACAGCAGATTGAAGAATATAATTATGTGCCATGCATTGTGTGGCCGGGTGTCCGCGGGTATAGGTGTGTCCGTCGGGAATACTCTGGTATTTTGCCGACGGTGAGCCGAAAATCGTTCTAGACAGCTCGCATCTGGCCAATTCCGGCTGGCCCCTGTGGGGACCAGACTTCAATTACGCAGAACCGCACATGGTGGGATGGTTAGGTGGTCTGACTGGGTGTCCGCGGGTATAGGTGTGTGTCCGTCGGGAATACTCTTTTTTGGA